GGGGATCCGGGTGCTGGCGGCGCGCTAGGCCGGCAGCTGTCAGCACTCCCCGTGTCCCCGCGGTGTCCTCCGAGCCCCGCAGGGACTCTCCCGGGGGCGAGGGGTGTACTTGGCTCTCCTTGACCCCGCTGAGCTCAGAGAAGAGCTCGGAGGATGAAGACCTCTTGGTGTCCCTGCTTTTCCATTATTGGGTGAAACAAATGTCCTATTGAGGGCTCAGCACTTGCACCCAGCACTGCATTACACACAGCAGCCCTGTGTGCCTGTCACTGGCCCTGCTTGGGGCGGCCCTGGCACAGCTGCCTACGTGCTAGAACAGGCAGGGCAAGCACTGCCTCTCCCCAGAGCAAAGGCTGTTTGATGTGTGTCCGTCACACTGTGCTCCTTCTCAGCCCAGATCCAGCCCTGACTGACTTGCCCCTTGTCTGTTCTCCTAGCCAGGGTGAGAAAATGAGTTCCTGATGTGCTGCCTGACACAAGGGGCTCTCATGGAGGGCACAGCTTGATGAGGTCTGAGCTCCCCAGGAGCTTCTCTTGGTCAGTTTGCTGAGGTGCTGGGCTGCAGCTCGGTGGCACGGGCACTGCTAGAATTGTCTTGGATTTGAATTATTGCCTAAATTTAGGCTCTGTCCAGATGGCAAAATCTAAACCTACCTGGGATCAGGTAATGTAGTACCTTATTCTGTGAGGCTCCATTTCCAGGCATGAATCTCTCCTGCTGGGATTGCCAGGTTACCTCTGAGAGGATTCTTCAAGCCCCTGGACCTGGGGCTCTGGGGTTTGTCTCTGCTGCAGCAATGCTTAGGTAGACCCAGCTACACTACTGCTTGTCAAAGCAAGGACATGAGCTCTGCTTGGGGAGAGATGCCTTGAAGCTGCAGGAAAGCTAAACAGCAAACATGAACTCTGTACTGCCTGGTGTTTGTGAGTTATTGAACTTCTCCCGGGGTGCCCAAGCAATGCCAGGGCTTCCAGTCCTGCTTCCCCACAGCAGCAGTGTCTGCTTCCTTCAAAAGGCACAGGATTACTGGGAATAAGTGTCTTCCCATCCTGAGAAGAACAGCTGTGCATCTGGGGTGTGAAGCTTGCTGGGGAGGTGTGTGTAGGGGCAAACTAATTGTTGGCTAGATGAGATAGGGGTGTTTGCTCAGAGAGGCTTTGAAACACTGTCATTGGGAAAGAAATGTTTGGAGTGCTGAGGTGTTGTATACCAAACCTCCTCCAACCCTGCTATCCCAGCTCATGGCTGTTGGATGTCTCCCAAGCAGGCTGCTGTCAGAGCACTGGGGAGGTATGTGTTTACCCTGAACATCAGCCAGGGCCTGGATGAGCAGAGCTCCCTGCAGCAAATGAAATGACATTCCATTCTCTGCAGAAGAGGTGGGCAGCTGACTGAGCCTCCTCCCTGGCATGTGGGGCATGGCCTCCTTCTAAGTGCCCCCAGAAACCAGGGCTGAGACCAGACACTGGAGCTGCACTTGCTGGTTTTGGAGTAAGAGTAGTGATGTGTGGTGGCAAGAGACACAATGACTTCCCTTCCTCCCAGTTCTCATGCAGTAGCCTAACACTGAGGAAGACAGGGGCCTGCTTTGTGCTGGCTTGTCCCTTGAGCTCATGGTCTGTGCTGGAGGCTGTATTGGGAAAATCTGAGCTTCCATCTTCCCCTTCCCCTTGCTCTGCCCTTGCCTTGGGCTGCAGGGACTGGTGTCACTGTCCTGCCTAGTGCCATAGAGATGAACATGTCAGACTGAGCCTCTGCCAAACACACCAGGGGAGATAGAAGTCAGAGAGCACCAAAGCCCTTGAATGGCCCTTTGCATGCTAACCTCTGCTCCTGGGACAGCCAGTCACCCTTCTCAGCAGCTGTGCTTCCACAACACTGGTAACAGGCTCGAGTAAAGGCCCCCGAGACCCCATCAGAGACCCTGTGTGACATGGAGAGCCAAGTTCCTGTGTGGGTGAGTGCTGCTGGGCATGAGTGTTCTTGAGGTGTGGGGGTGGAGGCTCTGATGAGTGAGCTGATGTCTTGTACAGTGGTGATCTTGGGGTCTGTGTCCTTCTGGTCATTGGGAGCCTTGAGCCATTGCTGCTGTTAACCCCTAGTTTCTGAGGCCTGATCTGGTGTGTTCCTTTAGGGGTTAGACTTGATGTCAGCCTTCAGGCCTCTCCTAAGGGATGAGCAGTGCTGAAGTGCTCTGTAGCTCTTCTCTCACCTGCTGCTTTGTGCCAGTGGCTGTTGCAGGCCTGGCAGCAAGCAGAGGCAGCACACCCTGCCCCCAGGACTCCAGCTTTCTGGGAGTATAAAACAAATTGGAACTAGTTTGTCTAGTTTCATTTTGGAATCTGCATTTCTTGAGAAGGTCCTGGCCTGCAGGAAGGCAGAGTGTCCCAGAGCTGGTACCTCTGCAGGGGACTGGCTGTGCTGTGAGGCAAGCAGGCATGTGTCCTGTGCCCAGGACAGTTTTCTGACTGAGCTCAGGTGGGTTATTTGCCTTTGTGCTTTGGTTTCCACTCCACATGGTGGGCATTTCCCAACATTTGAAGCTGAAGTTTCAAAGTAAGGTAGGTCCTGTGTGCTGGCCTGGTGTGAACATGTTTGTTGTCTGGGGATTGATCACACAGACAGGACAGCACCTAAGCCTGTGAGCACATGTGCTGGTGTTCCCACCTGCCCTGACATTCTCTCCCCTGGGGTGTGGAGGCTGCACCATGCCATGTCCTGCAGGACAGGGCCATGAGGATGTAGTACTACCACCCCTCATGACCGCTGATGAATTCTGTCCTGGCACTGTGCTCCTGCCACCACAAAGTAATGCATGTGGTCAGTCTTCTCTGGTGCTGTGCCCCCCAAACTGGGTGCTGTACCTGAGCCAGGGGCCCTGTGCTGCACATGGGAGCATGAGGATGGCTCACAGTGAGGCTTTCCAAGGAGCAGCTTAGCCAAGGCTGCCTGTGAGGTGGTGCTGCTGCTCTATGCCAAGCTGATTGCAGGTCCATTTTATAAATGAGGTGCCTGGAATTCTGTGCTCAGCTAATGCCATCTAGGTGTCTTGTCCCTGGGTCTGGGTAAGTCTTGTGCACCCTACTACATCCAAGGAGATTTGGTTTCTTTTTGCAAAAGAGGAGGGAGAACCTAGCTCCTTCTGGGGTTTGAAGTAAACTCTGCTAGGCAGAAGAGGAGGGTGTGAGTGGGAGCAGGAGGTATCTGCAGCTCCGTGCTTGGAGAGCAGCCCAGGAAAGGCAGAGCAGTGAATTCTGCCCCTGCTTTGGAAGTTTCTCTTGCTATATTCTGTCACAGGGAATGTTCTTGTCTCCCCTGTGAGCTGCCTGACTTCAGAGCTCAGCTGGCCTAGTTCACCACTGCTTTCTTCCAGGGGAGGTTCCACATTGTTGTGGAAATGTAGTTTGTTCTTCCTCCTCAGTGAAAGAGAGTTGCTTCCCTTTCCAGTTACTCTGCTCAGCGTCTGGCATTGAGTGAAATACTTGGTAGCACCAGGGGAAAGCAGCTCACTCACGATTCCAGTGCAGATTCCCAACGTAGAGGTCTCTGATCACCTTCAGCCAGGAGCTACCTGCAGTGAGAAGCTGAACACAGGCTGCTCACTGTGTGTAGGTCTCATGAGGCTGATACTTTGCAAACTGGGAGTTAGCTTTGAGTTCACCTGAGGCAGCTGAAGAGGCCACTGTGCCTCCCTGGCAGTGCCTGGTGTGTGGTGGTTTTTTTTCTGCCTGGGTCAGCAGCTCTGAGGCTGCCGCAACTGCTTTGTGTTTAACACCCATCCCCTGGCTAAGGCATCTCCCCCAAAAACTCCTCTCTGATTTTGCCTTCCAGACTGATCTCCAGCAATGCCATCAGCCATGGAGGGCTCAGAGCAGGGAGGAGGAGATATCTTGCGCTATGAGGAGACAGAAGATAACAATGTCAGGTGAGTCCTGTCCTACCCAACAGCACTGACACAGCCTTGGGCAAGGCAGGAGATCGTCCAGGTAAAGGAGTGATCCTTCTCCTCATCTGAAAGGGGTGTGAGGGGACTCCAAAAGGTGATTAGTCAAATACATGTGCAGTAAAATCTCTTTAATCAAACTCTGCTGGGAGGATGGAAGGGATGGGAAGGAGTGATCTGGCAGGGCTGACAACAAGCAGTTGTTTTTTTTAGTCTCTCCTATCAAACTCACATTTCAGAAACACTTCAACCATTTGTCAGTTGTGTTTGTGGCTTCCTGGCCAAGGGGAGCTGGTTCTCCATGACTTGCTGAGCAGGGTCATGTGATAGCAGCTCCTTGTTTTGAAAGATGACTCTAGAGGTGAACTCTGCTCTGGTGAGCTGCCTCTTGCCTTTACACAATACCTGCTGGTCTAGGCAAGGACACTTTCTAGAAGGTTAGTTTCAAAAGCTAACACACACATGCTCTAAAAGCTGAGGCTTCAGACTTGGAAATGGAAGGGTGAATAAGGTGCTTCCCAGAACACACAGATAGGCTGGTTGATGACTTTGACTTGAGAGGCTCAGCTTCATAAGAAGTTACGGTTTCGTGGCTCTCCTGGTACACTCAGTGGGTCTGGAGTGTTCAAAGTCTCTCTTAAACTGGTGATAAAAGCCAGGTTGGATGAAGCCTTGAGCAACCTGCTCTGGTGGGCAGTATCCCTGCCCAGGGCAGTGCTAGATGATCTGTAGAGTCTATTCCAACCCCTTAAACTATAGATCCCTTCAGACACAGCAGGGATAAGCTCACTGCTGTGTGTGGAAGTGAGGTGAAAGGGGTTCTCTCTCTCCCTGCAGCCCCACTGACCTCTCAGAGCTGCTGAAGGAGGGCACCAAGGAATCCCATGACCGTGCAGAGAACACCCAGTTTGTGAAGGACTTCCTGAAAGGACGGATCAAGAAGGAGCTGTTCCAGGTGAGTGTTGCGTTGCCCCACAGCACAGGAGCTCTGTGTGATTCAGTGACTGATGGAGACTCCAAGGCAGAGCCTCACAGCCCTGAAGTGTTGGGGAGGTAGATAGAGCAGAGCTTCTGCTCCTTCAAGTGATACTGCTGGTCCAGGCTCTGCAGGCTGGTTTCGTGTTGAGCCTGGGGGTTTCCTCCTGGTTTCCCCCAGCTCTGTGCAGGGAGAGCAGTCGCCAGGTGTGCTGTGCTGATCTGCTGACCATCTGCTCACTGGGGGTTTCCTCCTGGTTTCCCCCAGCCCCGTGCAGGGAGAGCAGTGGCCAAGTGTGCTGTGCTGATCTGGTGACCAGCTGCTCATGGGGGCTGTGCTTTGTCCACAGCTGGCCACCGTGGCACTCTACTTCACCTACTCTGCTCTGGAGGAGGAGATGGATCGCAACAAGGACAATCCCAGCTTTGCCGCTCTGTACTTCCCTGTGGAGCTTCACCGCAGAGAAGCATTGGCCAAAGACCTCAAGTACTTCTATGGAGAAGACTGGAAAGAGAAGATCCAGTGTTCAGAGGCAACTCAGCACTATGTGGACAGGATCCACCACGTAGGACAACATGAGCCAGAGCTGCTGGTGGCTCACGCTTACACACGCTACATGGGGGACCTCTCAGGGGGCCAAGTGCTGAAGAAGGTAGCCCAGAGGGCCCTGAAGTTGCCCAGCACTGAGGAAGGAATCCAATTCTACGTGTTTGAGAACGTTTCCAATGCGCAGCAGTTCAAGCAGCTCTACAGAGCGAGGATGAATGCTCTGGACTTGGACAAGAACACCAAGGAAAGGATTGTGGAAGAGGCCAACCGAGCCTTCAGATTTAACATGCAGGTACTAAGCAAATCCTTTTAGCTCCTGTGTGTGTGTGGGTGCTGCTGCTTGTGGGTCTGACTCAGCTCTTGGGCCCAGCTTAATTCAGTCAGATGGCTCACCCAGGCAGTGTTTGGGGCTGAGACCACCAGGGACCCTCCTCCTTGTAGGGGTTGGGATTAATTTATTTAAATTTAAATACCTCCTCTGCTAGCTTCTGGAGTTGGTGTTGGGCAGCAATTCCTCCCATGCTCCAAACAGCACAGCTGAGCCTTTGATTGGGGCAAAATGAAGATGAATTCTAGATTACCGTGGGCTGTGTGGCTCTGAAGCAGTGTGGGGAGCAGAGCTCTTGTGCCAAGACAGGCTTCAACAGTCTGAGCATGTTGCACCCAGTCTGGTGACAATTCATCTCCTGTCTTGGGCCCAACACGTCGCCCTGTGGCCAAAAATATCTGGAGCTTCTTGTTCCTCCCATAGCATTTGCCTTTCATCAAACCTGACTGAGCTGCTGCTTGCCCCAGGGGGATGAACACAGGCTTAGCTACTGGATGGAAGATTTAATCTGTACTTATAGCAGCTTGGTGTGGCTTCAACTAGCCAGAACCATGGTGGGATGTGGCTGGCTCCTTTGCCAGGATCCTTATGGAACTCCCTGGCAGTGAGGCTGGAGGGGGACTGCAGGAGCAGAGATCCTCCAAGGGTCTGCAGCAGAGAGGGGAGAGCACCTTGTACTGCAGCCCACAGCAGGCTGGGAGGTGAGCAGCTGGTGGCTCTGGATGTTTTTGGGATAGGCTGTGCCTTCCTGGAGCCATAGCATGTGTCAGGGATCACCACAGGTGTGGAGTGAGGCACTCCAAAAGGAGTCTTGGGGGGAGGTAGGCATGAGTGGTGCTTGCCTGTTCTCCAGATGATTCCAGGGGTCTGGATGAGAGCTGCCTGGTTCTGAGTGCTCACTGTGCCCCTTTGCAGGTGTTTGATGAGCTGGACAAGATTGGCAAGTCACTGCCCGAGGCAGCCCAGGACGGCGGTTTCCCAGTCCACGATGGCAAAGGAGACATCCGCAAATGTCCTTACTACGCAGACAAACTGGGTAGGTGATGGCAGTGAGAGCTGCCACACAGGTACCAGACCTGCCACACACATGTGGCCCCAGACTGGCAGTGCTAACAGTGCTCTCTGTGTCCTGCAGGACCCTCCTGCCCCTACCACACTGCGCTGGGCCTGGCCAGGCAGCCCCTGGTGCAGCTGGTGGTCGCGGCCTGCGTGGCAGTGGTGGCAGGAGCTGCAGCCTGGTACCTCCTGTGATGGGCACAGCCTGGCTCTGCGTGGTGGCACGGGGAGAGACGTACCCTGTGCGTTTGCAGACTCTTGCTGTCGGTGGTGAGTTGGCTGCGGAGTGGGAGTAAGGAAATAAACAGGAATCCTGCCTGGCCAAGCCTCCTTGCACACCATGGATGTGGCCCAGTAACACAACATCTTTAGCTGCACAGGACTGGTCGGTGTGAGGAGGTGAGGATTCCACTGCAGCACTGCCTTGCCCAGGCTGGGGCAGCTTTTAAGGCTAGAGATGTCCTGTCCTGACAAAGGCTTCATGTGCTTGGCTTTTCCTCTCCTCTCCAGGAGAGGGTTTCCTGCCCTGGGCTGCACCTCCAAACTGTGTCATCAGCCTTTTCAGCAAAGAGCACTTGCTTTTCTCCCCTGAGGAGCTGTGGGGTTTGGCCGTGCTGCAGTGGCTGTGCCATGGGGCCAGTGGGAGTGTCCTGTTTGGTGCAGTGTCCTGGGGGACCACGTGTGACTCCTTTTGGAAGGAGCTGCCTGGGGAGGGGACAGGACTATGGGGGGATGGAGGTGATACATATTGTGCAACTTTGGGGTTGAGGGTTGGTTATGGGGTTTTTTTTGTCTCTTTTTCCTGAAGCCTTGACTGAATAAAAAGTTGCAATGCTGTGGCTGGGGAAAGCCAAATGCACATCCCTGGGATAACGACTGAACTGGGCTGTGTGTGGCTGCCAGGGCTGGGGAGAGGCTTAATGGGGAGAAGGGGAGGGAGTGTAGAATCCCACACTGTTGTATTTGTCTCCGACTCAATGCAGTCTCTGAGACACTTCTGCCCTTGCACCCCCCTGTTCATGCTGCCTCCCTTGGGGTTGCCCTCAGTTCCTGTAGGGGCCCCTTGCTCCTGCTCACAGGACACAGCCAGGTGCTGTAAGGGTCTGGCAAGGGACTTCCTGGTTGGAGGAGGGAATCTGCTGCTCTTCCTCCAGTGCTTAGTACTGCTGTGCCCCCCCCCTGCCATTCCTCCTCATCGTCTGCTCCTCTGCAGTCAGATCTATGGATTTTGAGCAGGAGAGAAGAAAATATGTACAGACAAGTTCAGGGTCTGTTATTTATTTACATAAAAACACTGACTACTGCCACAGTTCCACTCCTGAGCAAACAGCAGCTGCCTGTGCAGGCTGGGCCCTGTCTGCAGACCTGTGCACCGAGGGAGGAGTAACCCTAGGAGGCTGAACGTGGCTCCCAGGTCCTCATGCCCCTCATCCCCTCTCAGGGTGCTGCTGGCAGCTCCTGCCAGTACCTACCTGCTTGCCCCTTTCCCTCTGCCCCACAAAAGTGAGTGAAAGAATAACCCCCT